AAGGAACAGAAGATGCAGAAACACAGCAAACAAAACAACAACAACAATACAAGAAAACGCCAGTGAAACAAAGGGCATAAATTCAAACAAGTGTATCACACAGAAAAAGAGAGAAGATCCCCACACATTCACTAGTCGGTAAATACCTACACCACGGAGCATTCCCCAGGGCGGAAGTGCATATTTGCCTCACCTCCTAGCGTTAACATCTCTCTCTTTTATCCTCGAAGGGTTTTGTACGCTCGCTTGTGTACGGGTCTTGCCTTTCGCCTTGAAGACGTCGTCCCCTCGCTATTGCTCATCTCACCTTGCTGAAGAGGCGCACACAAAGCACACACAAAAAAAGGTAAAAATGCCACTCTTTCAATCAACCGTCGACTTAACGCCCCTCACTCTTTCTAGTCATGTGCCTAAGTGCTCAAGTGGACTTTTTTTTTTTACTTTTTATCCCCGCTCTCATTTCGCTTGTTGTCTTCTTCTGTTGGAAGGACCTCAGTCGAATACGTACAGTGGAAAAAAATGTGGGACAACGACAACGCCGAGGAAACGACTCATCACACGCCACTAGCCCCGGCAGGAGATGACGCTGTGGGAAAAACTAAGTCCAAGTAGGCTCCTTGTATGGCCGGAAAACTGCACCGGGACGTTACGGTATTCGCCCCTACAGCCAATGGCGGTAGCGACGCTGCTGCTATTGCGGGCAATCGTGTTGCAAGCAGGCGACGCCTCCTTCAGCGTCCCGTAGCTTGGCACCGAAAAGGTCGTGCGTGATATCGCAGCAAACGGAGTTCCAGCCCCCAAATTGCCCGCAGCGTCAGTACCAAGCGATGAATTAGAGTACAACTCGGCTTGCTTGGGGTATGCGGGAAAGGGCAACAGGCGGAAAAACCACCTCACAATAAAGTTGCGATGTACATGCTCACCCAGTTCGTCGCCGTCACCAAAGACTTGATGTAAACACCCCTTCACACCAATGTCAAAGACACTCAGTGGACCTCCAGTACAAATCCCCTCTTCTAACTTGTGCTGGTAAATAACAAGATCGAGCGTTGTCAAGTTATGCCGTGCCAGCCAGCAGTGCTTTCGCAACAGTGAGCCTGTCAAAATAAGAAACATAATGGCTTCCACGAGACAGACGTACACACCTAAAAATGGGGGGCAAACGGCAAAGCTGTTGCGTAAACTAATAGAAGAAGTAGATGCCGTCCGCAACCCAGGATGCATCTTAGTGTGGTCTTTGCCACCCACCATGAGTGGTCCCGTCCAACATATCTCATCCGGCCAGGATGACAAAGTTCCAAAATCCCGATGCACAATCCTTGACCCAACGGTTTGGTAGTGCTCTACAATATAAAGGGACATCGCCAACAGCAGCAGTGTAGCCACCCAGAGAGTAAATACAAAGGTGTAAAACACCACAAGAAGATACAGCTTGTAGTTGAAAAAACCCACACAGCGACCAAGCCATGGACAGTGGTGGTCGTATTTCAATACACAATGCCTACAACGACTGCAATGGTGTGCCCTCTGCGGCTTGTAGGCAGCACAAACGGGGCATATGTTTAATGCCCCACACACCCTCAATGCCAAGGAGGCGCTCCTGGGAGCATGTTGTCCAAATGCCTGAGGCACACGACCTGCATCTGTGACCGCGGCCGCTAGGTAAGCCCACAATGTGAGAGCAAACAAAAAAACAGAAATGCCAAGCAAGATCCAGTCCTTTGTTGAAACGTTAAGTAAATGTTGGAGGTGGAGAGGAGAGGAGGAAATTGGTCTAGCCACTCCCTTCCTAAACGGTTGTAGGAAAGCCAATCCCAACGCATACAGTGCTCGGGGAAATAGAAATACACAGTAACTACGCAGAGAGTAAGAAGTCACCAAAAAAAGTGTGATGATAATGACGACATCCGCGCAACTGTGTCCAGAGAACCGCATACCGAGCTTCTGTGTCTGACTCTCACACCAAGTAAGTACGGCTGCCTCAGCGGGGGCGAGGCTCCAAACGTGTTTTGTGGTCTGGTGAGAATCTCAGAAAATGGGCAAAAAAAAAAACGGTCTTCAGAAATTCGGGCGGGGCCTCGCGCAATTTTCAAGCTACGACCCCGCCAGAAGGGGCCAACACTAAACAAAAGGGCAGTCTGAATCGTGTGTATGTGTGCGTGAGTGTGATATTTCCAATGTCACCGGCAATCGCAACAATATGCGCTCAGCTCAAAAGGGAACACGCACACAAGCACACACGCACACACAAAAAGAAAAGAAAGGTCAGAAACAAACAACCAAAAAAAAAGTTGTTTTTATCCCTCTTTTCTCTTAGTTCGCCTTGTTTTCCCCCAATCGAAAAGAAGTTGTCAGGTCGCCGTGACAACGATTTGTGGTACTATGCCTCTTTCTTTCCTTTCCTCTGTAGCTGCACGTAGAAGACGACACACAATGAGAAGCAACTGGAGGAACAGCAATGGGGGATGAGGCGTTCAAAAAAAACAAAACAAGCCACGGCAAACATGCAAGGGAACACGGATACACACGCACACGTGTACCCACTGCCGTTATTCTCGGCAAGTGAAACATCAGCAAAAATAAAAAGTAATAAAATTTTCTACAACAACAACAAAAAAGAAAAAAGAATGGGGCATTATTGTACAGAAGTACCGCTAAACAGTTAAAAATAAATAAAATTTAAAACTGATTCATTCTATGAAATCCCTCGTACTCCGTGGCTCGATCTCGATAAAGTCGGTTTTTATTTTCCCCTTCCATTATTTCATAACGCACGCACAAAAGCAACTACTCCGGGCTCTTGAGAATCACCTCTATATCTCCGCTGCGCCATGGCACAAAAAGCGTTCTCAACGGCAAAGGTTAACCGTACCAACAAAGGCGGCAACATTGAAACATGCTTTCCCATAATTTCCTGTCGCATCACCCTCATGGGACTCCCCAATCAGGGAAAGACGATGTCAGACGAGCAAAGAAATCGTCCACGTCATGACAACATCCGCCTATGGTCACAAAGTGCATGAGTTGTCAAACATCATCCTCCAAACAGACATTCGCTTGTTCCCCATACAAACTATAGGCAGTGCGCATGGCATTTAAATACACATTGTCAGAAACTGATAAACTGGATGTTGTGCCGGAAAACGGTGCAGCAGATGCAGTAGAAACTATTCCGCCGTGTGGAGAATGGCTTGCAGCAAGAGAAAATGCGTTGCGGAGGAGACGCTGGATCTCGTCCTCCCCATCCGTCTCTTCTTGTGTGGCCCGTAATGCGATGTTTCTATTGATATTTGTTGTAGGCATTTCGTAACTACGCGGCAGAGAGTCAGGCGATCGGACGGGTGACACCGCATCGGGTCCGCTCCCTGTATTATGTTGCTTTCGTCCAACCGATAGCAGTCCGTGCTGCAATGCAGCATCCACGCGGTGTTGCAGTGACGATGATGAAGAAGTCATCTTGTGCACAGGTGTGCACTAGTTCCCACCGCCAGTCCCCCGCCTGAACACAAAAAAGAACTAAAAAGGAAACATAAGAGGAAGAAAAAACATAGACGGGCTCAGTGTGCACCCCACACATCTTCCACCCTAGCGGAGATTGCCCTGACACACCCAACAGAGACAAACAGAAAAATTAAAAAGGCGTTTTAAAACAACCGGTCTCGTCTTAAGCACACAAAGTGCCATTCTTTGGACTTCCGCAGCCACCGAAACCTTCCGCGCGTAAGGTGGTAGTCGCTGAATGGGGTAGAAAGAGACGAAAAAAAAAAAAAGACGCCTCATCAAGAAAAAAAAAAGAAGATAAAAAGGTTTTGAAACACGGGTATCTGAAAAAAAAAAAAGAAGGGGGAAGTATTGCGTGGGAGAACCGAGCAACACGCACCGAAACGTTCAATAGGAAAAAAATATAGAGGGAGTGACAGAAACAAAAAAAAAAAAATAGTGTCGTTCCTTTCGTCTTGTCCTTGCCCATCGCAAATCCTCCACATATGGTGGATGTGATACTGCGCCAGTCAAAGATACCACCAGAATCAAACAAACGGCTTTAGGGGGAGCATAAAATGAGGGAGAGTAATGGACGCCAGCAAGGTTGTACCACCAAAAACACCTATGCCCCAGCTCCGTCCAAGCCACATTTGGCGGCAACAAAAACAGCAAAAAAAAAAAGAAACTAAATACTTGTCGTGGTTCTCAAGTAAGGGGAGTGGAAAACAAACAAACACGTAAAATATGCAATAAGAAAAACGTAGCAGTAAAACCATCAGATTAGCCTTCATCTGACTGTTCCCCAATACAAAGAAGGGAAAGGAAGCTTCATTCATTGCTCCTTATGTTGCCTTTATCACCACATGCTTATGCATGCAATACCCACCAACGAGCGAGCCAAAGACGGCTCCTCATTACATAAAAACAAGTAATGACACGAAGAAGGTACTGAACGCGCTTCTCCCTAACCTGCCCCACCCGAGGGGCAAAGAGGGTAGGATTGGGTTAAGCGAGATTACAAAGCATATAGTTTGCGACACAATACGTAATGACCAATGCAAAAAAGGGCAGCAACATGTGTTTTTGCCAGAAATATGTACAACCAAACCGTTCCTCTCGCAAGCTTTCAAAAACAATGAAAAAAAAAAAAACAAGAAAAACAATGCGAGGGGAAAGGAGAAAAATAGGGTCAGAAAATAGATAAGGAAAAAAAAAGGTAAAAAGGTAAAACACGTAAACAAGGAGTGAAATCAACGCATGGAGCACATACACGCGAGGGAAACATAAAAAACAAGTGGGCATAAGAAGGGTGAAACAACGCTACACGCATCGCCCTTCCTCTATCTTCCCTGTTCACTCATATATATATATTTTTTTAAATTGTTATTCCTTCTCCCCACCGCCTTCTTCTAACTGCATTAGGTCACCCCTCTTACTTCGCCTCATTTTTTGCCCAATTTTGTTTTCGCTAATTTCTACGACCTGCTTGTTTGTCGCGCTTCTTTCTCTTTTGGCACCGCCTTGCAATTTAGTCTCGACACAACTGTGGTATTTGTGTTGGTGACAAAGTAAGATGAAAAAAAAGAGGCAAAGGAAAAGGCAAGAGGGCAGGAGAGGAGCTCTCACCCCACGCGCTCCCGCCCTGCAAGGCGCACGGAAGCGTAAAAAAAAAAAATGACAACGCCGTCAAACCGCCGGGCCCAAAAAAAAAAAAAAACATAAAACGAGCAAAAAGACAACAAAAATCAGCGTATAAGTACGGTTTTTTGTAAAACAAAAAATTGTCCCCGGTGGGATGCTCTCATTGCAGGAAAAGTAACGAGAGGGTAGCGAGGGAAAAGACACCACCGTCAAAATAAAAAGGTGGAAGGGGAGAAAAGGACAAATAAAAACACCAACACCGCTTGAAAAAAAAAGTGCACACCACGGGCATCTAAAAGCTTAAGAAGATGGAAGGACAGAACGCAAACAAAAAAAAAGAATAATAATCATAGTAATAAAACAACAAAATAAAACAGCGAGAGATGAAGCCACGAGGAGGGGGTGCGTGCCACCAAAAAAGAAACAATAATAATAATTGGGCAGAGGACCAAAAAAAAAACAACAACAAGAACAAAACAACAAAAACAATCCAAATAAGAGAAACAAAAAAAAAACGAAAAAAAGACCAAGAAATGGAAAAAAGGAGAATAAAAGGCAATTGGCCCGGCCTGCAGTGTAGTTGAATCCAAATTCCTTTTCATCCCCCCCCCCCTCCCCACTTCGTGCACCTCACCGCTTCCGTGGGTGATGACTACAGCTTCTTTTCCATTTTCTTTCTTTCCTCTTCAGAGGGAGCTGAGCCCTCAGCACCCTTGCTGTAGATACTGCCATTCTACTTTACTCCCTTTACTTTTTGTCGCTTTGACATTCAGTTTTTCATTTATTTATTTTTTTCCTGTTTTCAAATTGTCATCACTTTTCCCTTATATATATATATATACACGCTCCAATTCGGCAGCATCGTCTGTGCTGTTATGAACCACACCTTTTTCCCTCGTTTTATGTTATTTCCTCTCATTTCCTTCCCTTGACCCACCTCCTCGCCACAACACTCAATCCTTACGCTGTTCGGATACCATAAATCATTTCACCGCGTATTCGTTGCCTGCTTCTTCTCATCGTCTTCCTTGACACCTGTGCGGTTTTAGTACCTGTTGCCCACACCTCACCTTATCATGGAAGTGTCTTCTACTGTTGCAGTTCTTTCGGTCTTGCTGCTCCGCTCATTGTCTCGTTAGCGTGAAAGGGAGGAGGAAACCCACGTACAGCTGGGGGGGAACGCGAACTGTGGGACGACACCAGCGGACGGTGCCCTTCCAACCACTCCTGCCCCAGAGGCTGGGGCGTAAACTGCTGGTGGAAGTGGTGGAATTGGTGGAACGGGAAGCCAAAACATGGGATCTCCATGCACCGCATGCTGCAGAAACTGAGGTTGAGTAAAGTTGGACGAGGCGGCAACGGCAACGGGTGTTGCAACAAAAGCCCCGCAGTTACCAATGCAGTACAACGGCACCCCGCTGGAAGCCGTAGTATGATTGTTAATGTGTGGCATTGAAAATCCAACCTGTGGAGTTTGCATTGTGGTGACAGTGGCACCGGGAGTTGAGGCCATGCTACGAAACGCAGATGGACGCGGTTCGTTAAAACGTGAGCTACGACAAGCTGCACGACCACCCTTCTGCATCTTGCATGCCACATCAGAACGGCACACCCAGATAACTTTACCCGCCTCATTCACGAAGCTCCACATGTTCTGTACAGTCCTTTCCTTGTGATGTTCAGCACACTTTACAACGTCATGGGGACAAAGCCGCATCACCTCCGGGCCTGAGAGTCCCGATATCGGTTGTACGGGCATCTCAACAAAAGAAGCAGCGAATGTTGTTTCGCAAACGCCACCACCACCGCTGCCACGCGTTGGAGAATGACTCTTTTCGCCACTCTTGACAACGCCGCGGACAGATGCCTCACCGTTCAGTGCGAGTGGGCTAGTTGGATGAGTTACCCCATAAAACGAGGAGGATAAAGCCAGTTCGGATGCGCCGCTATCGGTGAGCCCACGGCACGGCGACGGGCAACATTCTTCTTGGTTGTTTTGAGATGTCTGCACCATCACCGCGGGTAACACTGGACTCCAAATGCCCAGATCAAGTGGACTGGATATTTCAGGCGAAATCTCAGAAGGCATCGTAGAACTGGATGAAGTTTACTGTATTATCGGTAGTTCAGCTTTCACTTCTAATATTCCACTTGTATGACGTTCCGTTAACTTTTAGTAGATAATGTTGTCACTTTTTTTTTTAAAAAAAAAAAGAAGGGAAACGATGAGAGGAGGAGGATGGAGACGACATATTCATCCAATACACTGAACCACACAACCTGCTGGCCCATAACAACCTCCTTTACTTCACCGGCTAACACAAAGCGAGGGAGAAATAAAAAGCAAAAAATAATTGGGTGTGTGTCTCTGAGGAGTGCGCATACATTATTCCTTTAAACAGAAGCTCCCTTCTCCACCCACAAAAGCGGGATGTAGCCCGATACATCCCTTTCACTGCTCCCTGTACGCACCATAGCCTTCCTGCATTGGCGCGCTCGTCGCAGCCAATAGCGTGCAGATCCCCCCGCCACAACAGCCTCCTCATCCTCCACGCGTTCGACAGGAAAAAGAACTACCGGCAAGGAAAAGGAATTTATGGTCATATCACCATCATGCCTTTGAGCGTTGTCTTTAGGCACAACGAAAAAAGACTCTAAAGACATATCGTTTTGCTGCTGTTTCAAGCAGCGCAAAACTCTCCTCTGCTGATGAGCCATCCATAGTCGTGAAAGTGGAAACTGCTCCGCCCCAACTTCCAGCGCTGCATCGTTTGTTGTGCAACTGTGGTCTCCATCTCCTGCTAATAATGCTAACTGTAGTTTTGGTAACTGATGAACAGTGCGCTCTGCAACCTGTTTTGTGACACCACGGGGCAGCCCAGCCTTAGTATTTAGAACAGCGACACCACCCTCCCTCCAACTAAACGCATGAATGCTCCCTTCTGAGGTGTTGGCCTCTCTTTGCCTCTTTGTCCCTGCGATGTAACGGGAGTCACTTGTCCCTCCAAGTATCATCTTGAGCCACGCGCTCCGCGACCAACCAGAGTCACTTCTTCCATTGTTCCCTTCCCCATCGTAATCCTTTTTTCCCCGTGAATCCACAGAGGCGGCACCTTTGGTGAGTAGCGACTGAAGAAATGACGGTGTAAACCCATGAAAACTAACAGGAGAGGGAACCGGCACGTTATGAAACAGCTGAGACGCCTCTTTTGGGATTTTGTTTCTTCCCTTGAAAAGCGTCATGGGGTGGAAATAGTGAATACGGTCATTCAAAGCATTCCGTGCGGTCTCTAGAGAGAATGACCTGGACGGAGTAATATCCTTGTCGGCAGCGGCATCAGGAGTGAAAGCATGCGTCTGTGGCAGCCATACACTTGCAAGACGCATAGGTTTTGGAAATAATCGCGTTCGTCGTCTTCCCTGAATACCCAGACAGTGCCATCTAAGAAGTTTGTCCGAACAGGACATACAAAGGTTTTGGTGGCCTTTACCAGGCTTCAGACGCCCCACAAACAATATCTCATCGGCCGGATGACTGCGGTGGGCAGCTACAACATGACCATAAGCCACTATAGTCTGATCTATGGCACTTTCAGTCGCGTCACAAGAAAAAGAGAGCACACCTTCCTCCTTTGGGGCCGAATCTATGTTAGCGGATGGAAACAGCGACTGACCGCTAGGAGTAGAGAGAAGAACACGTCCTCCACCACCTGGAATGGACATCGCCCCACAAGGGTATTCCGTGCATATCAGATGAACTGTGACACCATCACGTAGACAAAAGCAGCGCCACGGTGCTTCACCCCTGCTAGCTTCTTCTGACCCCTTACGAGTCAAGTGACAACGCGCCACAACGGGGTGTTGTCTGATTTCCGATTGCGCGAGATACAGCGCCGCGTCCAATAAAAAGGCGACAAACCCACGTCGGGCCATCACCTCTGCGTGGCCATCCCGAATTAAAGGATCGGCCTCAGCGGAGTACAAAGAAGGCTTGTATCCAACGCATCGTGTGCCACTGCCCAGTGACACGCACACAAACTTTGCTTTGCCCTTGTCACCAACGGATGACGAAGGTAGCTGCAATACGACGCCTGCGATAACAGGTCCATCGCCGTCCAAAGCACTGATGGCATTGCGGTACCAACCATCTCGCGCAGGTTGAGATAGCAATGAAGCTGCAAATGCCTCAAGAAGTGAATCAGCGACGGGAGCCTCGCCGAAAAATCCATCCATCTCCCCATCCCACAGCAAAAAGAATCTAGCAGAGCAAAGAAAACGCTATCCAATGGCAATCACAGCAAAGGTAATGCAAGAACAATGGAAGGCAACACCCAAAAAATATAAATAATAATAAATAAATTAAAAATAAAAATAACGTCTTATAGCCCTCTTTGTTCCTTGTGGTGAGATGATGTTATGACCTTCCCTATCCTCAAATAAGCCTTTTGTAGTCGCTCTCATATGACAAACCCTTTTTCACCCCCATCTCATTTCTCATTACCTTCCGCATATGAGCCTGAATTCATAAAAATAAATTATTCCCTTTGTACTCACCCCGGATTTCACTCAATCTGCCTATCCGCTTTACTGCCATGATGCTTTCTACCATGCATGTGGGTTTATTAATTAAATTATATATATATATATATATATATCCGCATTTTCCATATGTTTTTATGCCTTTGTTTCTTTTCCCTTTCTTCTTTCTCTTGCTAAACAGACCTTCGCGTCTTAGTAACTTCGCCGCATAGCAATACATCATGATCAGAGGATTAAGTTGAAGCAGAAAAAAAGATAATAAAGCATGGAGCCCGGTCTCTGGCTGCTTCAGTATTGATGGCGCACAGCTGTACTGGTGTCCGCGTCTGTCTCAAGACGAGGGGCGAAACTTTGCCTGAAACGCCCGCAAGTATTCCGGGAGGGGCAAAAAGGTCTCTTTGCCTGCCGTAGTCTTCATACCCGCCTCCAAGTTTGCAGCCAAGAGCTTGAACCTTGCGAACAAGTCATAACCGTCTGTCATAGCTGGAGTGCAGGCCTTCATACGCACCAGCATGGGCAGAAGAGCAATATCGGCAGCGTTCATGGTGGCTCCACCAAAGAATGGACCCGCTCCAAGCCGCTGCTCTGCCAACAATTTCTCGAGCTCCCCAGACGCCCATTCAAGCTCTTCCTTCGCATCCTTGTTTTTGGGATTCCGCAATAAAGAAAACATTGCACCAACGAAGTGGCCCACATTAGATTCAACGAAATTGACAAAGTACGCCTCATCAGCATCCTTGGGAAGAAGTGCAGGCCCAGACTTTGGGAACTCTCCATCGATATAATGAACAATAAGTTGAGACTCATAAATATAGGTGCCCTGCGGTGTAAGCAGCGATGGCACAGTTTCCTGAGAGTTAACCCACGGATACCATGAGGGTCTGTTCATCAAATCAATTTCAAAGGTGGGAAGCTTAACGCTTTTCACGGCGCATGCCAAACGGGCGCGATCAGCAAAGGGACATGCCCTGTTAGAAAACAGCACATAACCTGGAGCCAATGACCATGTGGGGTGCGATTGTGGCACCTTGTGCTTAAAGGCAGCAATAAACTCTTCTGGTGTTGGGCTTGTCTCCTTCACAGACGGACGTTGCAGAGCCGCCAAATACATTTTCTTTATACGAGGAGCCTTTTGAAAGACGTCGTAGCCAGAATAGTAACTTAGTACCGGCTTGAAGCAGGCGAGGAATGGAATCAGCATAATATCCGCCATGGAAAAAACTTCATCAAGAAAATACGGCCCCGTCCTCTGGTTCTCTGAAAAGATACCTTCAATATACACGGTATTGTCGTCCACTGATTTTCGCTTCTCTGCATTGAAGGGGTCTCTGAGAAGAGTGAAATACGCCCTGATAAGATCTCCAACCTGGCTCAAGAAAAACTCCACTTGGTACCGTTGGTAGGTTGTTGAACCCACAAGCGCAGGCGCGGGAGAGGAAATACCGTCAATGTACTTTGCAATAAGATCAGACTCAAACACGCACGTTTTCCCATCCACCTGAAGCATTGGGACCGTCTCCCGTGGGTTCAACTCCTTGTACCACTGCGGCATGGCATCGCCGAGAGGAATCTCCAATTCCTCCAGTTTGACTTTTTTTTCCATCGCCGTGATTGTCACGCGTTGGCAAAAAGGGCACACTTTCCCCTTGAAGAGTTTCAAGGTCTTCATTATTTATTAGGTTTGATGAGTTGTAAATAAGTTCAAATGTGACGTGACTTTCTAAATAACAAAAAAAAAAAAGTTAGAAATAGCAGCAAAGAGAAAGACTTATTGCTTGCAGTAAAATGAAATCAATGTTAGCTTCATCTCGTCCTCGCCATCATCATCGTCGTGCCCCTGTTGGTCTCTCTCTCACACACACCCTCTGAATAAGTAAATGTGTGTGCGTGTGTGTAACGCAGCAACAGCGGCCAGCAAATTGCACAAATGTACGATACATGTGTGTAGTGTTTCAATGCAGAAGCAACGACCCTGCTCAGTGCTCGTTACCGTGAGGAAAGAGGCGTGACAATAAAGTCTCTGCCAGATAGGCCGTCTGATGCTGACTCATCCGTGCATCCAGTGGTCTGCCGCCCTCGTACGCGCGCAGCACGGCTGTGTCCCGCGTGGACAACATAGACGACTGCATCGTACGCCACAGCCTCATATTGTCCTTGGGGCTGCTTTGAAGATACTCCGCTGCCTTCGCCGGGTTAACCGTCCACAGAGCAGTGGCGAAACTGGCAAGTGGCACTATGCGGGTGTCGCAGACCGCTCTCTCCTCAGCTGTTAAAGGGATCAGAAGGCCATGGGTATTACCTACCCCCATCACAATCGCCGCCGCTTTATCACCCGACGAAGTTAATCGGTTCAATACCGTGCCAATGGAACTATGTGGGTAGGCAGAAGGGCCACCATTAGGAAGAGTCAGCAAAGCGTCAGTGAATGGAACAAGACGCAGGACACCAAAAGGAAAGCATGAACTAGAAAACACAAAAATAATATCCGCACCCTTAAAATTCCGATGTGATAAGAGAACTCGCTCCAGCGACTCTCCAACCATGACAAATGGCACCTGTGGTTCCAGCAAAGCACAACGAGACGGGTTGGTTTCTTCCCCTAACAGAAGCCTATCGCACCATACCCCCATGTAGTCTACCACACGATCCGAATCCCATGTTTGTGGACCCCGCATGCTACCACGAATCCGACCAAATCCATTGCCGGTAACGTCCTTGAAAAAACGTTCACCTTTATTAGGGCATTGCTTCTGACGAGCCCGTCCAAAAGCATCACGAGCATGCAAGCGGTTTTTGTCAGGGTTGTGTATGTCGCTTGGAGAGGGAGCACATGTACTGAGAATCTGTTGAGCTACACGGTTGCCTAGCGCCCCGCGCGCCTCATTTGCTTGATAATTGCCACAGCCAAGACAAACGATAAGACACCTTACAGGCACGTCCGCAAGTGAAATTTTAGCACGTGTCATCATTGAGCACACCATTGGCACCAATATATATATATATATATGCCAGCAGAAGAAGCAGAAATGGTCCTATGGAATAGAAAAGGCAAAACCCCCCCAAAAAAAAAAGGAAAAAAAAGGAAAAAAAAAGAACAAAAATACCCCTAATTGCTTCCACACACATCAGGGGAGCTCACCTCGTACACTAGAAGAATTTTCACAACTCATTCTCCCACGTCCCCTCTCCACCATTGTCCACTTTCCTTTTTTTCCTTGACGTTGTCGCCTATTTCACCCTCTTTCACGCTTTCCATCACCGCCTCCCCTTTCTTGGGTTTCTTTCTTGTGAGAAGTTTGCCTCTGTTTTAGATGCGCATATGTGCATGTTTTCAAGGCGAATTACTGGCAATTTGAAATGCCCTCAAAACGAGCTTCGTATGTTCGCCCACCATCTGTGGTTGGAAGAGAGGTGGCAACCCTGCCATTTCCCCTTTCTCGAAAAGCTTGTACCTTCTTTTCTGCCTCTTTTTCTTGATGCTTCGTTTGCTTCTATGTCTCCTTCCATCCCTTAGCTATACCTTCCCTTCTTCAGGGCATCCATACTACACCACACTGTTCTTAACCTCAGCAATTAGGTCTGTGGATTGGCTGTCGCCGCCTCTGCCGCGGGTGCAGGCGTGAATGAGGGGACGTCGCCCTCCGCAACAGCTTGCTCTCGCCGTCGCTGCTCCACTTCTTCCTTACGCGCACGAAGCTGAGCATCTCGCGCCTCCCTTATTTTTTTACGTGTGTTTACAAGAACGGTATCCTCCCTGTCTTCCCTAAGGAAGATGGTTGCGCCCTCTAACTCCGAAGCCTGCAGCTCTGTAATGGCGCGGGATGCATCCTCTGGTGTGACGAACTCAACCACCGCTCTCCCGCCCGAAAATACCTTGCAGAACGTCACCTCACCCGTCTGACGTAAATGATCTTTCAGTGTGTGCCACGTGGTTTCGTCGGACAGCCCCGACACCTGAACCCGCTGGCCCACCAGCTTCTTGATCCCATCAATCTCCACTTCCACAGCGGTAAGAGTAAGAGGGTCTACGCGCCGCACAGGTGGATTAAAGCTGGGTGGAGCGGCAGACCATGCCTCCTCGTCTACTGCGCTTGGTCGCCCCCACACCCCATCCATGGAACCGCCGCGCCCCCGACGGAAGCTACCACGACCACGATTTACGCGTGCACCTGTTGACGCACCACGCCATCCAGCGTCACCCTCATTCCATGCGCTGCCCGAACCGCGACTGCGACCGCCGCCAGAACCTCCCCAACCACCACCACCACCACCAGAACCTCCCCAACCACCACCACCACCGCCGCCAGAACCTCCCCAACCACCACCACCACCGCCGCCAGAACCTCCCCAACCAGCACGAGCACCGCCGCCAGAACCTCCCCAACCACCACCATCGCCACCGCTACCGCCACTTCTTCCTCCCCCACCACTACGGGCACCATCAGTACCCCAACCACCTCCACCACCACTTGTAGGAGCATCGGAGCCCCAACCACCGCCAGCTGCTCCATCGTCATCGCCCCACCCTCCGCCAGAGGATGATCCCTTGCCCCATCCTTGCATCAATCCCGCTGTGACATGCAACACTCTTAAAGACGTGCGCTTCATGTAAACAGTTGTAGGCGCTAGAAAGCACTTGAACCTTCTTACTTTCCTTTTTTTCCCACGTTTTTAACGTCTCGTTTCTTCTTGTTTCCCTATAAATTACACTTGAGGATTACGGTTCATGACACAAAAGAGAAAACATAAATTGATTTTGATGGCAACACCCAGCTATTTATTTTGTTGTTGTTGTTTGTCCTGCTTATTCTTCCACACTATCACTCTAGTTATACACATGCACCCTCCTCCTTAACCTGTTTTATTTAGGCTTACATACTACTTATCCCAATTATGGCTTGGCTTACACCTAACCGACGATGCATCAAGTGGGACATGATAGCACCCCACGCCACCTGTAAGCAGGAAGTGTATACATAACGAAAGTGAGGAGAAATATAGTAGAACATTGGCATCCAGTTTGCACCCCAAAAGACAAAACCGTATTTAATTGTATCAGGCCAGTCTTCTCTCAGTTGCCTGTGTATTTGTTTCTTCACTCCTTTCCAAAAAACTGGAAAATCCACATGCCACCCAAAGTTATCTCCCTCAGCTGCGCAAAGACAGTGACGTCCCGTATGGTAAATAAAATAATGGCTCAATGTCGCGACATACGAGAAATACAGAGGCGTTGTCGTGTTGGCTGCCACCCAACTTAAAAAACCCTTCAAAAGTGCCTGACCTCGGGTTACACTAGCAGGTGGATAAAGAGCATCTAGCCGCCGATACAATGAGAGAAAGAAAAACGTATTAAAGACGATGGTAAAACTACAAAAGATAAAACTACGTCGAAGATCAATCACAGGGGCAGAAGTATCCGTCTCAGCTCTGAGGTGAGTCACCAATCTGTGAAAAAAATTGGGGCACACTATCACCAATGGCGAACTACTCTGCGTCTGGGGACGGTCCCTTGGTGATGGTGGCCTCCTTACCACAATCTGCGTCAAGACATCCGCAGTAAAACCAATTACCACCCCGATGCAAACGTTACTCCTCCATGGTGACTCGCGAAGGCAGGTGGAGATGGAGCGACTCAGCCATAACAACCACATGCCCCAACACAGAAATGAAGCTGACCAGAGAGAAACCTAAGTTTTAAGAAAACAACAACAACAATAACCTTCACACCAACACTACGATCACGTCAGAAGATCAAAAAAAAGAAATGTATCGGAAATCAATGAGGTCCGACCTTCCCTCGCCTGTACCGTGTTCCAAAACCCAGCGACTACAACCACCCACCTGCCTGAAAGTTTCACTTGTCTTTTTTTTTCTTTCACCCTTTGTCATTGGATTGCAGCAAAAGCCACACAAAGAAGGGAAATAAATAAAAAAGTGAGAAAAAAAGCATACGTCAGCATAAAATCCAATAAGAGACAAAACAACATCAGCGCAAAGCATAAAGAGAAGCAAAGAAAGTAAAACACCGCCGTGGTGACGTCGCTCCACCTACACGCACTAACCAATGACAAGTAGAAGGGGAAATGGAAAAACGTAAAAAAAAAAAAGCGGGGAAAAAATCAACATAAAACACCAAAAGCAAAGAAAACAAAGACCCGACAACAAGAACAAAGAAAAACGCCTCAAAATTCAGGATGCGCAATGAATGTCCAAAAAAGTACGGAACAATTCATTGTGTGTCGCAGCACCGAAGTAAACAAGGGATGAAAACCAAACAAAAAAACGTGAAATATAGTCTCCTACAAGATACACTGATAAAAATAAAAAATGTTTTGTCACACACGCATGCATACACATGAGTGTACAGTTGTGTATATGCGGCAATTGCCTTGTCCTCATCAATGCCAGCCAATACGGCACGGTAAGCTTACTCCAAATTCTTCCACGCAGTTACTCGTCCATTTTGTCATGAATGCCGCATTCCCCTAAGCCAAAGAGAAGACTACAACTTCAGAATATTTTCGGGGAGAAGCACATCCTTTACCTCTTGTTTGCATTTGGGGCACTTGTATCTTATGTTCTTTAGCACGGTATTCCCCGTCAATTTATCTTCCCGTGATGCAGTGCGAACCCTCCAAAGACTTAGTCTTCGCCATGAGTGCAGCAACCCCTCCCTCCAATTCCGAATTTCGCGCTGTGGTTGTCCTGTTGTGGAGGATGTATTTGCAATATCGGTGTCACCTTCATTTCCGCCTCTTCTCCCCAAAACCGACAACAATACTTGCTGCTCCTCATGCGAAGCGTGTCGCACATCCGGAGCTGATGGCTCTCGTACTTGAGAGTCAGTCATGTCCTCTTCTGTTGACGGATACACACGAATGTAATCTTCCCGTATCTCGTCATTACAGTTTGGCTGGGCCTCGGTGGCGCATTCATTGGGTCGCACCGCCGAAGGCTTCGTTGTGGGTATCAATCCAACGCACGGACGACAAAATGCATGACAGCATGGCAACAGAATGACAATATCGTCATCCACTGGATGGACATCATCGTTTGGATTGCTTCCAGTTCCTTCTTGAATCCTTTTGATACCTTTCATGGTGTTGGCAACGGAAGCAAGTCTGCGTACATGTTGAATGCGATGGCACGCGGTGCAGGACACCACACTGCCCAAAGAAGGTGATACCTGTGCCGCCCCCGTTGGATTTTCAGTTTTGGACTTTGACCTGAACAATGATAATACCGCGCCAAAGAAACGGTTTAAACTGCCCTTCACGCGTTCTTGCATGGATGCAGTTTCCCTGGAGCCAAACCCATGGCGCCGGACTGCCATTTGAGCATCGACGTCAGACACACGCATTCCATTGCTCATCAACATACTCCCACGAAAGTATATACAGGCTCGGGAGACACCAATACATGACATGATGCCCACGACGAGAACAACACCCGAGATCATCCCGAAAAACTGTGTCATCGTTCCCACAAACTCAGGGTTTATTCCAGCTCCATTAGCCTGACACACGGGGCATAGACCTAACTCTTGGACATGCTGATCGTTACCGCACTCCATATTTTCACTGATGGGTATGCATGACTGCGTCGCACAGCACCATGAACACGCATCCGACGCATTTATTGAAATGTTATACGTGAGACAGAGAGTACACGTATCTGCATACTGACAGGGAGAACACGTTTCGCCCAGTCCAATAGGGCGGTTTCCCGTTGAACACGTTTGGCTGTTATTAATACAGCGCCGCTCCGCGCAACACCATGCGCATCCTGTCGTATTGTGTATACAATCATCCGATGTTTGATACTTGGTGCAAGTTTCTCTAGCACATGTTGGCCCGTTCACATCTCTGCGACATGTTGTGCCTTGCGTACAACACGTCGCATTCGTTCCCGAAATACAGCACTCAGCACTCTGTTCACATGCCGCCACCTTACCATAAGGTGCAAAGCAACATTTAGTCCCACCAGGCGCACAGTAGAAGTGTGGGGCCTCTCCACAGCAAATAGGGGCTTCAGCAGGGCAATATCCACCTCCACACTGCACATTTCCCTGAAACGTGATGTTGTCCTCACGAACGAGAAATTCCGACCAATGTAATGGTCTTTTCAAATCCATTGCACCATGAGACGTTTCCTCAAGGATCATATCAAATTCACTTTTCTTCTCATGCCAGTATGCGGGGGGCTTTTTCCAGAGCCACACTATTTCATCACCGACAGCCAGTACCCCCGTCCAGCAGTAAAGAGTCCACACAGCCACGAGCAGTAGCAACTGCATGAATACGTGGCGCGTCATCCTCTTGGAAAATATCCTCCGGCAGAAGCAACAACAACAAAATAAAACAAAATCGTTGCTCCAGGTATGGGTTATTATCTAAGACAGAAATAAGAAAATAGAGAGGGGAAAAAACAAGTCTATTTTAAAATAATACCAATACATGTAAACAAACAACATAATAATAACTGTCACGTCTACCCATGATGCAGTGGACCCCAACACAAACAGAGACAAATACACTAAAGCAGAATGATGCTTTTCACACTGCATCCACATTCCGGCCACACGCCATGACAATACTGCGCGGGAGTCATTTAGTTAGTCACTTCCGTTTCTCAAGGTCTTTCTTTTCTCTGAAGCCTTCTTTCAGTCGACCATGCCAGATGGTGTCTCGCGATGTATTACCACCACTGTCAACCTTCCCCATGTGTTTGCATGCATAAAACTATTTCGAGTGTGTCTTAAACCCTTCGTCTGGAACCCAATCCCATACAAGCATAAACAGAATAAAAAGCTGCATAGCAGTAAAAGTAAGCACAGCATCATGATTATCATCGTGATCCTTATTAGTGCACCCACCGCTGCCTTCGTTTGGGCACGCGCCGCAGTCTTCCCCTCTTTCGGAACAACAGATCTTGCGCACAACCGGCTGCTTCTTATGTGGCTATGCACAACATTGTCCGCGGCGGCATCATACACATAAGACAGTAGGGTGTTCATTGTTTGTGGAGCCCTCACAAGACATCAAAATGCAACCGCATGAAATCAATGGTGACAAGCACACTTGACCTTTGGAAATAGGTCGCCACTTTCATGCATTGATGCGGCGGCGAAGCACAGCGGATCTCCGCGCCACACAAGCAGCACCTCATCGCATATTGGTCATTCAAGTACGCATCAGCATTGGAATCCCTTCCGAACCGATTCCTCACGCAAGCAGTTCGCCGCCACATCCTTCCCCAACGATGCAAGCTCCCAAGAGTACACAACAGGATGCAGTGTGGCGGCCTGGGTGACACTTCTCTCTCTCCGTTGACATCCAACTCCACCTCAAAAGACGTTACAGCGCTTCGCTTACGTGCCCACACAGTGGGCGCCCAACCATCACGGCGGAGCGCAATAAATCGGTACATCCCTGTGGGGCCTGCGTCTAGGCACATCGGAAAGTCGCCAACAACGGCACTGCATGCGTGCGTCTACCACCACCTTCCGCCGGAGGGACCTGCACAGGGAATAACGCCGCAGCAAAACAGCACGGGAGTTAGCAACAAGAAAAAGTGTGCCTCTCGCCTGTCAGCTACCTCCACCACTGAAGACAGGCGTCGAAAAAACTACGTAAAAGTGGGCGTGTGCAGATGAGAAAATTAACAATAGTAATAATTCCACCCAAAATACACACACACAGCTGCACAGAAGCGCACAATTACAGTCAACTTATGGCCCGCCCCCGCAGAGCCGCAAGCTCCCTCCCCCTCTTTTTTTGTGGACTATTGTCGTCTCACTTTATTCCTCTACTACTTATTTCCGTTTCATGTTTTCACGTCCCTGTCATACCAACCACGCAACCCGGACTAGCAGCTGATGGGAGAGGTGGAGGGGAGGCACGAAACAAAAGATTGGGGGCAGTGCACAACTGCATCCCAAGCAAAAACTCGGCAGAAAAAAATTAACTCCCCTATTTTTATTTGTGTTTTTAAAACTTCTTTGAAAATCAAGCTAAATAAATGCAGTTATACATCGCATCAAACGCAAAATATCCCCCTCACGCCCCCCCCAAAAAAAAAAAAAAAAATGTCTCAAATATAAAGAAGTGTAACACAAACAACAACACAGTTAACGCCCGTAAACACCGCTTTTTTTTTCTTTCAGGGGAGTTCTTACTTTAATGAATCTCTCTCTCCCTCTGTAGAGGCATCCGCAAGAATACATTCCCCGTTGAAAAATACGCAACCCAAACGTTTTTCCACATTTATTGACTGCTTATTTTGCAACGAATGAAACGTCACAAAAGCAAGGAGGACACACACGAAAAGGATCCAAACAGAGAGGCAGTGGGAGCGAAAGGGGACAGAGGTAGGTGGTAATTGACGCAAGGACCCAATCGAAGTATATAAAAAAAAAAAAATTAGGGTCGTCCACAGATATTGTCAACCCATTGATGGATGACTACCGCAAAGCAATTTTTTTTCATTCCCCACCCACCCACTGGAAGCTTGACGCATCTTTCCAGTGCTACCACCGCTTTGGCTATTGTGTTCCTGTTGGAATTGTCCCAAAAAAGCTTACTCAAAAAATCTGCTCAATAATAATAAATAAATATATTATATATATTTAGTTTTCCTTCTATTATGTTACGCTATTTGGCGGGGCATGACGTGGGCCGCCGTATCCCCTCACAGACACACAACTTGGCGCCGCCCGCTGCGTGTCACGCACTCCTGGACAATGCTGTTTGTGACAGATGCATTTGGTCCTTTGTGCCAACAGAGAGGCGGCCAACTACAGGTAGTGCAGCTTGTCTCGCATCTCCTTTGAAGGGTTTTTGACATCGCGCAAAAACACAAACTTCCGCGCGTACTCGGACGCGCACTTCAGCGGCAGTGGCAACGGGAGGCCATCCGTTTTGTTCGGGTACAGGAAACACATCCCATACAGTAGTGCCTGCATCTCAGACAGCAAAAAATTTTGTTTTCTCCCCAGCACGACATACAGCGTGGCGCGCGCGTGGCCAAGTGTGCAGTTCGCACTGCTAAGAAAAAATGACTCGCCAAATTTCGAGTCGGTCCCCTCACACGTCACAAAGCCGCGTGGGACATTGCATAGTGTGTCTGGCTCCTTGGGTGTGGCGGCGGCAAAGCGTGTATGTTGGTAGCGCTGCGACGCCACAACTCCCCACAGGACGTTTTCTTTTAAGGACCCACTTAGCAGGTCCACGTCGTGCTCCTTGGCCGCCAACAGCTCGCCCTCGGACGCGCAACCACGAAGAAGCAGCACCGCAGAAGTTTGTAAACCCTTGTCCAGAAAGTGCCGCCTCGCCTCGTCCAAGAAGCCTCTCAGCTTTCCTGAGAGCACCTCAGAGGGCATGGAAGCTTTTTCCAAGACACTTGAGCCCTCCGTTTGCGGGCTCTGAGCGAATAAACTTCGCTTGCGGCCATCCACTTGGTAGTGGCCGCAGTAAGTTTCCCACCGCGTTCCACGGACGTGGAAGGCCACAAAGGCCACCGTATAAATGTCTTGCTCGACCGTTGATTCGTCGGTGCGCAGCTCCTGCTTATCTCTTCCAATATCAGCCCCAATAATCAATATTCCTGCGGATCCAATTTTAGAGGCAAGTGAGGGGCACAATTTATTGATGTCCAGTACCCAATTCAGCTGGCCACCTTTGGCGCACACCTGCTGCGCCACAGCCATGGCAATCGGTGTTCCACGGGGCCCGGTCAAATCCTTCACGATTACCTGACTTAGCATGCCCTTATTCGTCCACGTTGTCTTCAAAGTTCTGTACCACTCCTTATCAAACTGACGCAGAAAAGCAAACGCAAATGCGTTTTTGGACGCAAGCTTTTTGACCTCGTTCAAACTTTTCGCATGGTGCACCCGTTCTAGCATCATGGCGGCGTTCATCTTTGCCAGATGGTTCTTGATGGCACCTAGTATTTGTTCCCCCTGACCGGATTCGTCGTACAAGACAACTCCCATGGCTTTTCGGTCGCCTGAATGCCGTAATCCCCCGAGCTCCCGGACAAAGCCTTGCTGAGTGTTTTCTCTAAGAGTATCGACAATTTTGTGCCCGTTTGCTTGTGGAACAAGAACTAAAATGGGCGGCAGCACATTTCCAGCAACTTTCAAAAAGTTGTTCTGCAGCAAAATTCCAAAGGAATTTAGAATTTTCATGGCTTTGCCATCACTCTCATGTTTGAGACGCTCGATCGCTTTTTTGACCCGTTCCATGCGTTCATTTGGGTACAGCGAACAGAGCTGCGGCAGCTGCCGCCGGTCCTGTTCACTGATGCACATTTCATGCAAGACTTCCGGCGGCACCAGCACCTTCTTGCCTGAACTCGTACGACACCTGAACAGTACCTGCTTAGGCATGAGATGTATACCGTATTTTTGTGCAAAGTACTCCACAAATGTCTGCCCAGGATTTTTCTTCAATTCGGCATCTTCTTTCGCCTTTTTGTCCGAGATATCAATTACTGTGTAAACCGCTCCGCGGTGACCATGAAAGATGGTGCAGACCTTTTTCTTTGAGAAGCGCTCTAGTAGTGCCCTTTGGACGTTTTGGTCTCCACGTCGTTTTATATCTTCGAGAATTTCAAGGCAGTTTTGTGCAGATGCAACAGAGACCAGCGCGTCGATCTGCAGCACCGCCATCTGCACCCCTTTCGCTGTGGTGGTCAACACCTTTGGCACAACGCAATCGAAGGTGGTAATGCGTCCTCCAGGAGCCGTCGTGCCCGCCCGAATATCGGCGTACTTTCCACCCATCTTTTCTCCATAGCATACTTGTATTGCCTTCCCAACAATGCTGTTCACCTCAACTCGATACTTTTCGCCGTTGAGTACGATAACCTCAGGTCTGGCGATGGTAAGAATATAGGAATATACACGGTTACCCTTTCTTGACTTTACTGTGAACTCATGTGTGAATTCCTCAATTGGGAGTCGTTCTGGGGACAAAATACTTTGACCTGTGCAAACGCACAAATCGATATCAAAATTTTTGACTTCAGGACACTCTTTTCGCATCTTTCGCAGCAGTTCCTCTGAGGCCCGTTCTTTCAGGCCATCCTGCAAATTCGGGGCACCATCCTTGAATTCATACGACAAAATATAGGCAAAGACTTCTTTGTTTGGGTCAAACTTGAGCGGTATCATGTTGCAGATAGCCTCCAGAGGGCAGTTGTACTTTTTCTCCCTGGCAAAGTCAACGATGGCGGTCTTCTCTCGCTCTTGATTCTGGAAGCAGCTGCCACCGCCATGTGCACCGCCACCGCCACGGCCACGGCCGCCAAAATCGCCACAACCTCTTACACCACTACCTCCGCCTCTGCCACGATACCAATGGGTTTCACCGCCGCCTCCTCCTCGCCATCCTCTTCCACTACCTTTTTCCATACTTTGTTAAATGTTTTTTTTATGAGTGTTAAAATAGAAACAGTGATGTAATGAGTACCAACAAATGCAAGCTAATGAATAAGGGAAAACGGATTTAAAGAAAGAAAACAATAATCTTCTTCCGCAGAGGAAATGAATTAAAAGCAATATAAGGTTCCCTCGTAATTCAAATGGTTATAATGCGCGTTCACATGTTTACCGCAGTTACGTATGCCGTTCAAATGTCCATATGATAGATACGCAACACATTATTATCCGACCCCTAAAAAAAAAAAAAAAAATGTAGGTTCACTGACAATTGACCTTGCTGTTATGCCGTCTAGAGTTATTTCTCCCACCAATAATTCAACCTTCACAAGACCACATCGCATAAGTTTATCAATAACAAAGCTTACTGTTATACGCCCTTTGCAAATAAAATATACGTTGTATTGTAATTTTCCATGTTGTCTTATTTTTACCTTTTAAAAATTTAACCACAAACTATCCATGTGGCATTTCTGAAACCGAAACCAGGTTATGTAGAGATAATTCTTGCCAAGTACCACCATTGTGAATCTATACTAATGATTTAAAAAAAGATACTGCAAAGCTCATAGAATATCTCTCTTTTATTATTATTATTATTACTATTATTGCTTTTGCTCCACACCAACTAGCTCCCCGACATTTGAATAAATGTGGATACATCCATAAAGAGCAACTGTAACGAAAACAAAAAATAAGAGAAAAGCTGCTTACATTTACATATAAAAAGGCAACAAAAAAAACCTTCAAACTACCATAATACCCCTTAAATAAGGTGTCAGTGGGCGTTGCTCTAATATATTTGCCTATAAAGCACGGTTGGCTAGGCAAACTCGCTCGCACTAGAATAATAATAATAATAAACGTACAAATGAATAAATAAAGAGAACTATATCCTTTTCTTTCCCCCTTGCGTACAAAGGGGAAAATAAACAAATAATACGATAGGAAACAAATCATCCAAGGGAAATCCTGCTCAGAGCTGAATCAGGGCAACCCACAACTAAACTCCACTTACACTACAAGAAAATGCAGCTCTTTCTTATTTATTTTGTTGGCAATACTACGGCACGCCACCGCATGCGAACAAGAGCGATAAATACGCAACTATGGAAAAATAAACATTTAAAATGCCAGCACAGGCCTCACAATAAAAAAAGACTAATGATATTATTTATCATTTTTACTATTCAAAGGAAAGCTCAAAATCATAGATGCTGATTGAGACTCAATGTATCCCTTTCAATCCCTTCACCAGTTCTTCTTGGAACAACGAAAACCCAGACAAAGACACTTTCGATGGCACATTCCCTACAATGTCTTTTAAAAAAAAATGAAAAGGTAGGAACCAGCACAAAGTATATATATATATATAATCACACAAGATCTCACGCTGCCGACGTTTCGTAGTAATACTACAACTACTAATATTAATAATGGTGGGAAAAACGACTGTAAAAGAGAAAAAAAAACATCATTACAATCCACAACCCAATGCTGAAAACAGGAGCACAATACGTACTGAGCATTATTAATATTGTTATTACTGGCTTTTAAGAATAGAATACATAAACAGCGCAAGTCCATCGGTGATTACTTCGAATAAATAAACACAACCAATTTTATCAAAATAATTTGTTTTGTTTTGTATGTTTGGAGGAAGCGTTGGTATAGAGTGACTCCAAAAGCTGTAACGTAGACGTCATGTAAAGTAAAACTCAGAAATCCGCGATACCCACAGCAGTGAAACTCTATTTAAAGCTACAGGCATTTACACTTTTATACGATGTCAGCCTCAAAGCAGTATGTGGGAATAATAAGCACTACTGCGGACACCATTTCCATCAGTAAAAACATCGCCTTTGAAATGACGCAGCTCAGGGGGAGAGGGAGAAAACGCATGAAGAAGCGCATTGGACACATGATGACGACATTGAGAAAGTGTCCAAATGTTTAAAATTTCCACGCTCTACAAGGAATCTCCGCTGCAGGCACTGAATTATGCCTGTTGGTTCGTCACGCATTATTTTGGGATTAAAGACAAATGTTAAAATAATGACACCAGAAAGCGGACAAAAGAAAAACATGCATAATAAAGCAATGCTTAGTTTAATATGAGGTGCATTTTCCTCATTGTTATGAAGACCTCCCTTCATAAAATATATTTATTTCCGGGCCAGCTTCAGTGAAGAGACATGCGCATTGAATTTCTGGTAAAAAAAAAACCTATATATATATATATATATATATATATATATATA